TCAGCTGCCCAGTCCTACTCTACTCCAGAGCCCCTCCTCGACCACAACCACCTCCACATAGACCTCCAAGAAATCCTTCCTTCCCCATCACACCTCTCCTGTTCCTCATCCTCCACTCAGGACCCCAACCCCCTCCCAAAGTGCCCTCCATCTCTCACTTGGGTGCACTGGTCTCTGGGACAGGTGTTGGGCCCGCTGGGGCTGGGCCAGGAGTCAGCTCGGGGCTCTGGGCTGGGGCACGCTCCTCCGCTTCTGCCTCCATGGGCTCCCGAGAAGGCGCTTCACTTTCACTCGGATCTGATGGCTGAGAGCTCAAGGCTCCTGGTTCCGGGGCCACAGTCGGTGTCTGTGCAGGCGGCTGACTGGGCTGTGCTTGGGGCCCCCCTCGACACTGAAGGTGGGGGAGAGTCAGGGTACCAAAGGCAGGATGAGCCTGCTGCAGAGGACTGCTAGGTCAAAGGAGCCTGAGTGGACAAAGTGCTCTGGAGGCAAGGCTTTGCATGTGTACGTCGGATTCCCTAGCAATCACTCTAAGACTTAAACAAGTCAGAGGCCTAATACCTGAAATTCTTGCAAATGAATTACTAACAAAAAGTAGAGATTATGGTTTGCTAACCTCCACAAGGAGAGAAGAAAAAGCCACAGGTTGCAGACACAGCAAAAACTAATGAAATTTGGACATTTCAGTATCAAATATCATAATTAAGAAATTAAAGGTCCTCCCTTGGCCAGTGTGGCTCAGTTGGTTGAGCATCGACCCACACACCCAGAGGTGCCCGGTTGATTCCCGGGTTGCGGGCTCAATCCCCAGTAGGGGGCATGCAGGAGGCAGCCGACTGATGGTTCTCTCTCATTTTCTCCCTCCGTCTCTCTAAAGTCAACAAAAACATGGTTTAAAAAAGAAAGTAATTAAAGGCCCTGGCCAGATATTTCAGTTGGTTGGAGAAACCTCCAAATACATCAAGGCTGTGGGTTCGATCCCCAGTCAGGGTACATACATATAAGAATCAACCAACCGCCGAAACCGGTTTGGCTCAGTGGATAGAGCGTCGGCCTGCGGACTGAAAGGTCCCAGGTTCAATTCCGGTCAAGGGCATGTACCTGGGTTGCGGGCACATCCCCAGTGGGGGGTGTGCAGGAGGCGGCTGATCGATGTTTCTCTCTCATCGATGTTTCTAACTCTCTATCTCTCTCCCTTCCTCTCTGTAAAAAATCAATAAAATATATTAAAGAAAAAAACTGTGGTAAAATATACATAATGAAAAACTGTATATTTAAAAAAAAAGAATCAACCAACAAATGTATAACTAAGTGGACCAACAAAATGATGTTTTTCTCTTTCTCTCCCCTTTCCTCTCTCTAAAATCAATAAATAAAAGTTTAAAAAAATTATAAAATATGAAATCCTTTTTTAATTGAAAAAAAAATGCCAGGAGAGTTATCTGACAAGTGTAAAACAAACTTCCCAGACACCAGTCACCAAGAGGATCGGCAGGAACAAGATAGCCTCACACAGATACTTTTTTCTGCCCAAAGAAAGAAGACTGTAGAGAAGAGACCAGATTAGAAAGGAAGCGGCCAAAAAAATGAAAAGGAAAAAAACAAAAAAATGAAAGGAACCAGCCAGTCATGCTTTCACTCCCAGGCTGAGACAAGGGGTAGGGAGGATGGGGAGAGAGTGACAGACCACTTACCTCCATCCGGGATAGTAAGGTCTGTATATCCCTGATCATGTGCTGAGCCATCACCAGTCGTACCCGGGGTTCACTCTATGACGAGAGAGGGAGAGTTAGGGCAAGTCTGAAATACAGCCACGAGCTCCAGAGCCCACTGAACCAGGTCCCAGCATCTCCTCAGCCAAGTCCAATCCCACCTCATGGCCTCCTTCTCCCAGATCCCCTTCCCTGACCCTCCCAGGCCCCGTAATACCTGCACTGGGGCCTGCTCCATGTTGATGTGAACATCCACAGCAGAGCCGTCACTCTGGGGAAAGGGTAAGGGAAGTTGCTCTGGGAGAAGCCAAATACTAAGACTCCCACATTTCCAATTCATTCTCTGGAGACACATCCCTTTTCTCACGTCTGAGGCCATTCGTAGACCACAGGGCCCTCCAAACCCAATCTAAATACTGAGCTCTTGGCTGCTACCACAACCAAAACTATCCTTCACCACAAAAACCACCCCAGGTGGAACACAAGCTTACAGGAAGATTGAAGGTTCCAACCATGACATAGCTGTTGGCATTCCGGTCATGAACAGAGGCCCCAGGCCCCCGAGTACCAAGTGGGGGTGCCCCACCATGGGTGGCTGAGGCAGACCCTGTCCCAGAAGATGCCCCAGAAGGGAGCTGAGTCTGAGGAGGTGCACGTTCTACCAGGTGGATAACCTTGCCCCCAACATCTGCAAAAAAGAAAGAAAGAAAAAAAAAATATATATATATATATATACATCTATCTCAGGTAAACCCATGGCTTCAGCTCACCCCTCTTCACAGCTGCCTCAAACTCCGAACTGCCTCCCCCACCCCCTTACTGTATTCCTGGAGCTTCTTATCATCCTGCAGAACGCGTCCCTGATAGATGAGCCGCTGTTTCTCAGAGGGGATGCTGACAGAGGCAGCAATGTGCTCCTTAAATTCCTTTACATTCATCTGCACAGAAGGGACAAACAGGTGTCAGGGAATGGAGGGAGAGGAAGGACAGAGGAGGGACAACTGACTTGTAGGGGTGAGGGGTAAAAACACCTCATTATAAAATCACTACCCATTTCTCTTGATTGTGAGATAATGATGTGCAAAGCCCCAAACTAAGACAACTCCCTGTCAAAATACTGACAATAAACTGTATCTTCTAGGCCTAGGAGAAAATTACATGGCTGAGAAACAGAAAAGCCAACTGATAATCTGTTCACTCCTCTGCCTGGCTCACAAGGGAATATGTGTCTAAAGATACGGCTCCCCAAACACAAAATGATACAACTCTAGGCTCAAAGATAAAAGCGATGACGAAGAAGATGGGGTGGACAATCAGGTTAAGGAAGGAAGACTCAACCAAGAAGGAGAGAAGGGAGCAAAAAGAAGACTATTTTTCCTAACCAGACAACTTCCTCTTGGGAAGATTCAAGTGTTTACACACATCTAATCACAAAAGCCTTTATGGTTTTCTGAAATACATGTATTGTCATGTTTTAAAAACCATGGGCCAACCCCTCACAATTTTGTCTCCCAGTATTACAGGCGCAATGACATTGATAGTTGTGCCAATGCTGTTAAACTCAAATGATTAAAATTATACCACACATATTAGTAACTCCACTCAACATTGCATTATGGGCTCTGATTTCTCACCTTTAAAAACACAGTATAGACCTAACCAATTTCTGTTTTCAAGACACACTTGCGTTTGGAGTCTGTGTGTTCTATTTTCCTTCCCAAAGGCCGGAGCCATGTCTATCCCTCTGAGCTGCAGTTCACTCGTGATGACGGCATACAGACTCCTCCTTCCTCCACATTTCCCTCTGCACTGAGTTTTACTGAGGTGGAGGAAGGCAGCAAAACCTAGCTTGTTCAATAGAAACCATAGCTTCTTACTCAACAAGACACATAAAAAAATGTTCTGTCTAGAATATGAACAAAGAAATCAATGGAAGAGAAGTCGAGGACCGGAAAATCAGGCTGTTCTCTCAGGTTAAAGGGCCTACAAGAGGAAAAGTTAATGGATGTCTTCCAGAAGTACCGGGGTCTCACCTGGGCCCCCACAATGAAGGTCCGGGTCTGAGAGTCCAGGGTCTTCACCAGCACCTCCAGGCTGTCAGGCTCCTCCATGGTGGTACTGGTACTGTTATTGGGCTCCATGGCCTACAGCTCTCTACGGAAGAACAGAGGAGAGAGGCCCGCTGTCGCCCAGAGCGGATTTTATATACCCAGAAGCCTCCCCGGCCCGAGTCTCCGCCCCAGTGCCTACATTTCTCCCACACTAGCACACACTCACACCCACCCCATCCCCCTTCTGATTCCGGGGCAGAGGGAAAGAAATGCAAAGGGTAGGAGACGACGCCAAAGGAAGCTGGAGGACGGGAGGTGGGAGGGGCCCCACGATGCCAATCCCAAGAGTGGGCCACTCGGGCTAGGGAGCTGGGAAGCAAGGAAGCAGGATTCCAGTGTCATCACCGGTTGCGAAGGGCCCAGAAACGCTGGGACAACGCGAGAAAGAGGGGGGGAGGGTCGCATTACACTCTGCGAAGAAAGTGGTTTCGCGCAGGCGCGCCACGCCCCCGGAGCCCACCTAACTCACGACAGACCCAAAATGACGGACACTCACGGGGGGCCAGACCGGTTAGCTGACTGCCCCCCTCTTCCGCCTTCTTTCGGAGTTCCAGCAGAGCGTCGCAACCAACACACATCAAATACACACACCACCTCGCGGACCCACCCCCGACTTCCCCACGGTGCCGTCACTTCCGGTCACCTCCAACCTGCCACCGACGGCCACTTCCGTTTCCCCGATAATATTTGGAGATCGCGAGGCGGAACTTCCGGCTCCCCTCAGGTCCCCAAGCTTCACTTTCGTGGGGCACGACAAGAAAGTCCACGGCCCCAAACAGTGAGTTCCTGAGGGCGAGACGGGCCGGGGCCGGCCTAGATGGGAGGGAGCCGAGCACCCCGAGGAGCCGCCGCCGTCGCCCGGGGGACCGTACTACGTCTGCGTGCGTCGCATTACGCATGCGTACACACAGGCACCGCCCAACCCTCGCTGGCGCCGTTCCTTTCTTCCGTGCGCGCGCTGGAGCTATAGGAGATTGAGGTGGCCACTGTAAATGCCTGGAAAAGAATTTCCAGATGAGACTCTATGACTGCCTCGAGAAGCTCTGGACGGTGATATAGGTGTTGGAGATTGTGCCTCGTTAATCTGTGTTAAGGTCTTGGCCGGCAGAGACTTTGAGGCGGCACTGTCCTGGCCACCTAAAATCCCGTCTAAAATCCCGTCCCCGTCCCCGTCCCCGTCCTCGCCCGCGCCGCGCCGCGCCACTCCTGCGGCGGCTCCGGAAGTCACCCTGTGCTGGGCGGTTGGGGCTGGCTCGCGAGCTGTCTTCCGTCCGGGCGTGTCGTTGGGCCTAATTTCGGTTCCGTCCGGTGGGCGTTTTGCGGAGTGCGGGTGCCGTGTTTCTCACCGGCGGTGCGCGGCCGAGGGAACACGTTTTTCAGAAGCTAAGCGTTTCCTACCTCTCAGGACTTCTGTCCCCCAAAAACGGCACCTCCGAGGTTGGGAGTTGAGAGCAAACGAAGTCCGACCACCGGACCGAAACACCAGATTCCGGCCGTGGGGACTTGAAGGGGCCGCCACAGGGTTTCTGCAGGCCGAGGTCCGGGGTTACTGCTCCGCCGCCTTCGCCCCCGGCCCGGCCCTTCTGGGGTTCTTGGTTTATACCCGGGTCCCACTACTGTTTCAGTCCAGGGTTCCACGTACTGTCACGTTTATAAGTCATTCAACAGGAGATGGTTATTACATACAGCTAGGGAACTGACAGATGCAGGCCTACCGGACTCCCTGGGTCAAGCACTGCGTTACTGCCCCAGTACATTTTTTAGTTTTTTTAAATAAAAAATGTCAAACATTACCCCAAAAGAAAATAGCATACTGAGCCTTCAGATAGCCCAAATCTTAAGCCTTACCTCTCAGGACAAACCTTTTTTTTTTTGGCAGTCTATAAGTTATAATTAAGAAAGTCCCACATTTCATTGCATTAACTGCTCAACCCTCTTGGTACTATTATTTGGGACTGTATTACCCACCAGAAACTAATAATCACTTTACAAGCATCACTTCAGCGAATATTTACTTTGGACTTGCCAGGTATAGGCTTTTGCAAAGGGCTTTATATGCATTATCTCTTAATCCACTGAGATTGATGATTTGCTCATTTTAAAGATGAAAAAGCAGGCATAGAGATTAATAAATAGAGTTGGGGCTTGAACCCACTCTGCCCAGCACCAGTGTCTATCTGTCCCCCTTAACCACTAGATTATGTAGTTTCTTAGAGTAATAAACATGGAATGAACTGTGTCAGTGAGCTTTTCTGGATGGTGTACATATTATTTCCCCAATTATAAACCAGAGAAAAAGCCACCCATCAGGCATGCCTCAGAACCTGGTTCATACCTGTCTGAAAGCACTTATCAGGTTGTATTACAATGATTTGTTTACACAGTTAGTTCTCCTTAGACTGACTTCTTCAAGGCCAGAGACTATGGCTTATTCATTTTTATGTCCCCAGGGCTTAGCCAATTCCTGGCAAACAGCTGAGACTTAATAAAAAGTTTGCTAAGTGAATGAATGAATCCACCTCTCCAATGCTGCACAACACAGCAGATACCCAACTCAGATAAAGACCACCGTCTCTGCCTGCAGGGCTCAGCTCTTCTGATAATTCCCAAAAGACCCTGGACATGCCAGGGTGTGTTGTAGAGTGGCTGCATCTAGAAGAGGGGGAGGAAGGGCCAAACACTGTAAGTAATCAATGTTTGGAAAACAAGGTTGAAGTTACTCATTAGCAGGAAAAGGGTCAAGGGTCAAGGCAAAGGGGCTGGAAGCAGAGTGGACTGACCAGCCAGTGGGGAAGAGAATAGTTAAGGCACCAGCCACTCCACGAGGAACATACCAGCTCCCTGTTGCCTGAAGATGTTCCACCAAATTTGGGCAGCTCTGCTTTACCTCTATGGCATTCTCCTTAATTCCATCTACCAGTGCCCTGAGCTGAGTCAACTGACAACTCAGGAAATGGATGGGAAAGAGGTATGGACTGAAAATGGGGGGGAAACTTACAGTGGGGGCTCTGAGGGACTTGAGTGGGTGGCCTAGAGTGACCAGAAGCTACATTGTGAAAGGAAGGGAGGAAGAAGGTGTGAATATTGTGAAGATAAAAACAAGGAGAAGTAAAAATGTATTAGTACTTCGGCCATCAATGTGGAGACATGGTAGCATTTGGGGTTGGAGGGGTACTCGGGTTGTTGAGGGCAGGAAAAGAGGAAAAGTCATTTAATGACGCCCTGTCGTGGATCCAAGTCTAGTTGGAAAAAGGCAGCCGATACCTCCACACGAAGTCTTGCTGTCCTGACAGGTTGGATGGACCCTGCAGTGGGACACACCCTCTCTTGCTCCCCTTGTTGTCTCCCCAGTTTCCAGAGCCCCACCTGGGCCAGTGGCATTTTATTGCAGGGGCAGCTCCCACCAAGGAGGAGTTGGCAACTTTTGACCCTGTGGACAACATTGTCTTCAACATGGCTGCGGGCTCTGCCCCCACGCAGCTCCAGCTTCGTGCTACCATTCGCACGTAAGTGGTGAGGAGGCAGAGGTACCAATAGGTACAGTCTCTGCCCAAAGTGTGAGCACCTACCCACAAAGAGTTGGGCTCATTGGCATATCCACTGTTCTTGGCCCACTGAGTTCGACGGTTCTGTTAGTTTTCATCTGGAGAGATGGGCCTAACCCTTGGTAGCTTGAAACCCAAGGTGACCCAGGCTTCAAGAAGGAATAAAAGGGAATAAAGGTTGGTACTGTGTGGTTGGGGTGTCATTCAATCTTTCTTTCTCGCCACCACCACCTCTGCAGGAAAACTGGGTCCTGTGTGCCCCGGGAATGGATCTACCACCTGACTGAAGGGAGCACAGATCTCAGAACTGAAGGTTGGTTCTCTCCAGCCCTCCCTCTCTCCAAGTCCCCTGGCTGGCTCATTTTGCATCTCTGTCCTCACACTTCCCCCCAACCCATCCTGACAGGCCGCCCCGACATGAAGACCGAGCTCTTCTCCAGCTCATGCCCAGGGGGAATCATGCTGAAGGAGACGGGCCAGGGCTACCAGCGCTTCCTGTTCTACAGTGAGTGAGGTGGAGAGGCAGCATGGGCTGGAAGGAAACCAGGAGGGGCAGAAGAGCCCCTCACTCTGGACCCTGTGATGTCATCCCAGGAAGGGCTGGGTGCTTCCAGGTCCTCCCCAGGGGTCTTGCTAAGTAGAGGTGCTGATGGGCCTGGCCCTGCTGTGCCCTTTCAGACCGCTCACCATACCCTCCTGAGAAGTGTGTGGAGGAATTCCAGTCCCTGACCTCCTGCCTGGACTCCAAGGCCTTCTTACTGACTCCCAGGAAACAAGGTAAGGGGACAAAGTCCCACAGAAGAGAACTAGGACTCACCAAGTCTGCTGCAGGTGCTGGAGGAAAGGGACTCAAGTGATGTCACCAGAGGGCAGGACCAAAGGCTGATACTATCAGGGTGGCTGTGTTCATATCCTCCATTTGTGTTAGAGGTTGTGATGGCACCAGAGGAAGCCTGGATAGGCTGTGGGCTACTCAAGAGAGGTTTCTCAGTTTGCAGTAGATGCAGGGGGGAGAGTCAGACACAGAGGGAAATAGGCCGCAGAGGCCTCTTCTTTGACAGGGGAGGAATGAGGGAATGCATTCTCCCCCACCCATTACCAGCAAGCTTGCATCTCTTCCTGGCTTTCCTTCCTTCCCATCCTCCTCTTTCTCCCTCCTCCCACCAGAGGCCTGCAAGCAGTCCAGTGACTGACCCGTGGCTTCATCTGTGCCCCCAGATGTATTTGTGGGACTGAGATTGTGGTGAAGAGAAGCCGGAGGTGCCCTTCTAAGAGTAATAAAGACGATTTTTCAATCCTCATCACATGTTGGGGTTTTTCTCCAGACATCATCCCACTCCCATTTCAAAACTCCCCCTGAACTTCCTACCACCTGAACCCCTAGCTGGGTGGCATCAGGAAGGACACTGCATGGTAGTTAACTCATTTCAGTGGTATATTTAGGATTCGGTGTGACAGTGATTTATTGCTGAGTGAGCAACCCCTAATCCCTGCACGGGCCGCCCGCCCCTGACCCACCCCGCCGGCCAGTACCACCTACACCATCCCCACTCCCTCTGACTCCCAGAAACACCCACTTCATCCCTGCAGGCTCCCTGTTGCCTGTGCGCCCCATCCAGTCCCCAAATCCACCCACCTAGCAACCCCATTCTACCCTAGATGTCCCAAGATCCAAGGGACCCCTTGGGTCTCCCAACCACCCTCTTACCCCAGCCAGAGTTCTGTCTGTCCCTGGGGAGTCTTGAAAGATAGAGAGGACCATTTAGTCTTTATTCTCCACCTCCACATTAAAAAAAAATATTTGTTGGCTTTTAAAACGTGAAGATGAGGAAAAAAACTTGAAGGTAGGAGAAATATAAAATCAAAAAGTAACAACAGCTGGTGAATTCAAGGGCTATGCCCCCACTGTCCATAAACCCAGACGCCCTGAACAGCTGTTCTCTCCCTGGGTGGGTGGGTACCCTCATACTCTGAGGTTTCTTCCCCATCCCTGAGGTCCCTGTGCTTACAATCTGGGTCATCCCCCCTACTCTCCTAAAGGCCACACTGTCTTCACCCTTGCTCCCACCCCCCTGGGGGGGGGGGGGCCTGGTCACACCCACTCTGAGGTCACAGCCCCTTTCCTGGGTCTCCCCTCTGCTCCTCCCCCTCCCTCCCCAACTTGTTACCCTCCAAGTCAGTGGCCTCCTCATCCCCACTTGGCTCCCGGAGGCTGACAGCCAGCACCAGAGCCTGTAGGAGACCAAAGAGGCAGGCGAAGTGCAGGGGGTGAGCAGTAAGTAGGCTCAGCACGGCATGGAGTCCGTGCAGGGCAGCCAGGAAGGACAGCAGCCCGTGCAGCCAGAGGCCCAGAGGCCCGCTCAGGCCCAGCATGTCCAGGGCTGCCCGCAGGGGCCGTGAACACAGTCCCAGCAGGGCCGAGGCCAGCAGCTCCAGCAAGTGCAGGGTCAGGTTGGTGGAGATCTGCAGACACTCCTCTGGGCCCCCCAAGTACTGCGAGGGAGCCCCTGCTCCCCCACCTGGTTCCCCCCGCAGCCAGCCCAGCAGCTTCTGACGGCGGCCAGGCTTCTCCACTGGCGCTTCAGGCCCAGGGGGGCTCAGTCCCCCTTCAGGAGACACTTCAGATCTCCTGGTGCCACCTGAGTCCACAGGGTCCCATCCCACATGGGGAATGGCCTCTGCTGCCTCCAGTCTCCCAGACTCTTGAATGCCAGCACCAGTCTTGTCCCCCTTGAGGGAATCCATCCTTTTGCTCCCCGGTTGCTCAACTTGGGGCTCCCTGCTTGGTTGGGGAGCAGTCCCAGAACTACTCCGGGCCCCTGAGTCCTTCCTCTGGGAAGGCCCCACATCGCCCATGGTTTCTGGGGCGCTGTCCCAGTCGCTCCCTGAATTTTCAGAGGAGCTATCCAGCCGCCTGGGTTCTGGGGTGGGCGGGTCAGGCCTGGGTTTCCGGCGGCTCCAAGGGCCAGGTAGCCAGCCACCAAGCCGTCGCAGGAACATGGTTGGAATGTGCAATGAACCCCAAATCCTGAGGCCGCGTCCTGGCACTGTTGAGGCTCAGCAGCACAGGTATCTGCTTGGTGAGTGCGTTCACCACCCCACACACAAGATTCCAAGTCTCAGGATCCGACCAGGCCTCCGTCACCTGACAGCGTCCTCCCTGTTTCCGGGTTTCTTCCCAGCAAACAGCACACCCAGTTTCACTCACCGAGGCCACCCAAGGTGCCCCCAAAACTGGAGAGGCGGCGCTCCATCCAAGAGGGAAGGAAGGTGGTCCGATGTAGGGTCCTAACTGCCGACTTGGGGAGCTCAGCGCTGGGAAGTCCCCTGTGGGAGGGCGGGGCAGGTGTCAGCGCACCTCGCCAGCAGGTTCATCCCTTGGATTCCAGGGCTCTGAGTCCCACCGGGCGGCGGGCGGGCCCCAAGCGCGCAGCTGAGACGCGGCCTCGGGAAGGTCAGGCCAAGCCGTCCTCGGAGACCGCAGTCGCGAGCTCACGAGCGGGCCTGTCGGGGACCCAGGCGTCCGGGTGCTGTGGGCGGCGGCCCCTCCCGGGCACAGCGTTCGGGCCGCGGCCTCCCGGAGGCGCCCGGAGCCGCGGAGCCGGAAGCAGCTGCAAGGGCGCCGGAGGGCCGGGCGGGGCGGAGCCGCCACTCGCGGGGAGGACCCTGCGGATGGCCCGCCCCCGCGACGTCGGTGCGCAGCCCGCGGGCGTCACCGCCGTCAGGGCCCGTGTACTAGCCCCGGCCCCTTTTTCGTCGCCCGGAGGCCCCGGCGCCCGCGCTCCCCAGAACGCGCCTGCCCTCTAGCCCCTGCCTTGGGTTCTCCCCCCACAACCCGTTTTTGTGTCCGTGACTTCAAAGCCATGAGGAGTCCTGGGACTTAAGTTGTTCCCTGTCCCTCCCAGCAGATTCCACCGCCGGGCACCTGGTATAAGCAGCACAAGGCAAAGGGGAGGATGGGAAGACAAGTGTAGACGAACAGCATACGCTTCCGCCTTCCTATTGGGACGTTCCAGGTAGTGAAACACCGTGGCTTCAGGCTGAGATTTGAGAGGCCAGAGTACTGGTGCCAGTCAGCTAACAGAGTACAGGCTGCATCATCTGAGGGCTGCCCACCACACTGGCCTCTTCCTACAAGCCCCTACCCACTCTCATCACCCTATTGGGGTGCTCTAGGGCTGGCAGGGAGGTGACCCTATCATGCCACCTGGAGGGGCTGCCCTTTCTGGCTCAGGTGGGACTTGCATGTGGCCCCCAGACTCTGTGGCTTCTCCATAACAGCCTCCAGAAAAGTGAATAAAACACACCAGTGGTGCTCATGGTTGAGCATCCCCCATACACCAGATCACTGGTTTGATTCCCAGTCAGGGCACATGCTCTGATTGCAGGCTCGATCCCCCGTAGGGGGCATCAGGAGGCAGCCAATCAATGTTTCTCTCATCACTGTTTTTCTATCTCTCCCCCTCTACCTTCCTCTTTGAAATCAATAAATACATATTTTTAAAATAAAACACAAAACAAGTGAGATGATTGATTTATTTCTCAACTCTCAGCCCCTCTCTCAAAGGTGGGGCCTGTGGACCAAAATCTGAGTGTCTGGGACTTGAGCAGACACCAGGAGTGTAACAAAGTGCCCAGGTCAGATGCACAAGCTCAGACTTCAACAGAGTCCAGTGTCAGACTCGGCAAGGTCAGAACTCAAGGTTCATGTATGTCCTCAGATCCCGCTCCCAGGCTCTGTCCTTGTCCCTCTGCCTTCTCTCCTCCCTTCTGCTCAGTGTGGCTGCCTGAGGGGCTCTCTCCCTCCCAGCCACTGCCCGGGTATCCTGAGCCAGGAAGTGTGTGACTCGGGGTTGGGATGCTGATCCGTACCCTAACCCTTCCTGATCTCTCTTGAGGACAGTAGGGATGGGGTTGACACGGCCCTTGCCCCAGGGTCCCAGACCCTTTCCAGGCTCCCAGCCTGCCCTCAGCAGCAGCTTGAAGCCTGGGCTGGAAGTAGGCATCCCAAAGTGCAGACTGGGGTTCCGGAGGTCGCGGGACAGTGACAGCAGGTGAGCAGTAGATGTGCAGTGGTTGGAGTCTTGGAAGTAGGCATCACACATCTCACAGTACTGGGTGGACGGGGACTGGGAACTGCAGAAGAGAAAGGACTGAGGGCAGAGAAAGGGTGGAGGTGGGGGAGGGGGGATGACAAGGTCCTTCCAGTCTTTCTAAGGAACAAGTTGCCTTCCTCCCCACTTAGCAATGAAAGACCAGAGGGGGAAAGCTGGGTAAAGAGATGGTAACCAGAACTCGCAAGGAAGGGATACAATAGCTATAGTTAATATTTACACAGTGCTTACTATGTGGAAAGCTCTGTTCTAACACTTGACATATACTAACCCTTTTAATCCTAACTAACCTATGAGAAAGGTGCTCTTATTACCACCATTTCTCAGACAAGGAAACTGAGGCACCTAGACATTAGGTTGCTTGCCCAAGTTAAGCAGAGTTAGCATTTAAACCCAGAGCTCGTGCTCATGATCGTCCTAGTACACTGCCTATCTACCTACACCGGGAGGTGGGGAAGAGAACCCGTCAGCTCTTTGCTGGTGTGGAGTGGCTAGGAAGGGCAGAGCACACTGAAGATGGGCATGGGCGAAGGCTTCCCCTTACCGGTTCCCCGGACTCCTCGTCTCTCCATGGCTCTCTCTGACCATGCGGGCCACCTCAGGGAAGCCTGCTTCTTCAGCCAGCTGAGCAGCATCCCTGCCGCCCAGCTCGCAAACTCCAACCCAGGCAGCTCCCCGGCCCAGGAGATAGCGCACAGCAGCCCCCTGGCCTGCTCGGGCGGCACACATCAGGGGGGTCCACCAGAAGGCATCCCGAGCATTGACATTCCCCCCAGCTCCCCCTGCCTCCTGGGGATCCAACAGCCTTCTTAGTTCTGCCAAGTCCCCCTCCTGGGCTGCCCTCAGTATCCGATGAGTCATCTTGTCCGCAGCCTCAAGGGATCTCCTTTGACCATGTCCTCCTGATGCTTCTGTTGCAGCCTCTCTCATCATTCTTCTCTTCTTCCTCTTTCTCTCACTGGCAGGTTCAGGTTGTGATCTCTGAGGTTCAGGGGTGCTGCTCTCATCTCCAATCAAGGCCTCATAGAAAGCCCGGGCCGCAGCCCCATCCAAGGTAGGCTCCAGCTCTTCAGCCTGTGACTGCTGCTGCCCATCTTTCCAGAAGTCACTGGGGTCAGTGGCTGGGGTGAAGGTGATGAGGGAGGGTCTGGACATGGCTTGGGAGAGCTTCAAAAATGAGACTAGGCAAGGGGAAGATGAGACCAGCAAGCCACTCCAGAGACCTGCTGGGATGAAGGAAAGCAGCCTTAGAGTCAAAAAACCTTTCCCGCCCCCAAAGTGATGCCACCACCTAGATCCTGATCACGTGGGAGAACAGGGAACCCTGTAGTAACAGGCCATGCCCAAGAGTAAAGGTGAGCAAAGACTCCATGAGGCAGTTGCTCAGAGGCCCTGCTTTCCACCCCCACTCCCAGCTTCATCAACAATAAGTAGTGATTGCCTCTCTCTGGAACTACTTCATCATCTCTAAGACAAACGAATAAGAAAAGCAATCAGCCTGGCTCTTCAATCTTCCTCCATCCTATTTTGAGTGTCTATTTCGAGTGCCGTCTTCTCAGAAAAAAACACCTGACACTTCTCAGAAAGCAGGGAGCACATTTGGGGAGAGGCTGCAGTCTGCATCCCTACTGCAAAATGGCGCTACTCTAAGCAAAGGAGTTCACGTAATCAAATAGACAGACTATTCGAAGACGCAAGCGGCTGGGAAAAAACCCACCAAGATTACTTGAGGACGCAGGCGTGCAGAAAGCGCCTGGTTTCCCGCCCTGGAGCCTTTCCAACAGAACTCACGCAGAGCGCCACGTGCCTAGGGAGCGCGAGGACAGGGGAGGATCTGTCAGTTGGGGTCTTGCTTTTACCTAACGCCCCACAATGCCCTTCGCCTCCCTCAACGTGGCCCCCTGCTCTGAGCTCATTTTCTGGAGCTGGGAAACCACTCTCTGGGTTAAGAAAGGCCTTGGGAAGGCGGAGGGAAACCTATGGAATGCCCCGGACTGGGAAATAAAATAACGTCACGCTGCCCCTCACCATTACTGCAACCAGGGTTCGAAGGTCGCACTTAGCGCCCGCAGCAGAAGGCCCCATTCAAGCCCTAAGAAGTACAAAGAGACGAACAGCAGAATGGCTGGCACCGCCTCAGGTTAGCGCACTAGGCCGCCCGGTTCTCTCACCGCCCAGCGCAGCCCAGCGCATCCCACCCAAGTCCCTCAGCAAAATATGGGCCCCGTCGGGGGTCCCCAGAGCGCGCCCGGCGCGGGCAAAGGGTGGGCCAGGCAACTGGACGCGGCGGGTTGGCTGGGATGAGCGCAGTCCCCTGCGCAGGGCGCGCGGGGGCCGGAGGCCAGCCTCGTCCCCTTTCCCACCGCCTCCCGCCCCCGGGATCACACAACTATCTTTCCCATACTTCCCGGCCCAGGAGGTTACCGGGCTTCCGCTTCCGGTGGCGCCTCGCTGCGTCCCGCCCCCAGCGTCTTCCTCAGGGGCCTCGCGACACCAGGGTCGTGCGCGAGTCACCTTGGAAGTCGTAGTTCGCCTTGCCCTGGTTTCGCCAGTTTCTCCCTCTCGGGAACTCTATCTCCCGGCGTCCACCGCGGCGCCTGACCCTTGGCGCTTGCGCGTTGCCCTCTTCCCCCGCACTCCGGTTTACACCCCTCCACTCCGCCTGCCGCGATCGGGTCCGCGGCCTGCGCTGTAGCCGTCGCCGCCGTTCCTTGGAAGTAGCGACTCCCCTCCCCCACCCTGGTCCCGGCCCCCGTCCTGACGGTGAGTCTTATAAGGCTGTCGCCGCGCCGAGTACCCTGTCCCTGGCGCGGCACATGGGGGTCTCCGCGCCTCGCTATGCGGGTGGGAAGGAAGTGAAGAGGGCCGGCACCGAGAGAGGAAGGAAAGGGTGGCTTGAGGGGCAGAGGCGGGATGTGAGGAGACCCGCGAAAGGGACCTTGGGGCCACCCCCAGGCCTTGAGAAAAGGAGGGGCCCAGCTCTCGCTTGGAAAGGATAAACTTGAAACCTTTGGGAAAGGCGCTGGGACCTGCAGAGACCTGCGGTGGTAGGAGCCGAGCCGGGGCCGGCCTCCGGGGGCGTCGGGATGTGGATGGGTCGAGTAGGTCAAGGCCTGGCGGTTTCCGGTGGGACCCCAAAGAGTCCTGATCTCAGAGAAAGGGGCTGAGGTGTCGATAAGAGGTGAAGAGAGGTGCTCCAGAACCTGGACCCTTAAGGAACGGCGGCCCCGCGCTCTTTCTTCCCTGGTGGAGGCAGCGGGAGGAGGGAGGTGGCCGAGCAGCGGAGCTTGGGTCCCACTGACTCTCTCTGCAGCTGACGTGAAGATGAGCAGCTCAGAGGAGGTGTCCTGGATCTCCTGGTTCTGTGGGCTCCGTGGCAATGAGTTCTTCTGTGAAGTGAGTTCTCCTGCCCTTCCTCCTGGGTCCGACACAGCCTGCCCAGATACTCCCCAGCCCGCTCACATGCCTCCATGGAAACTTGTTCCTGTGGAGGAGGAGTCCCCTC